ATAAACAGTCTGCCTGTTTGCTGTTCAACAAATAAACTCCTAAAGACATAGCTAGGAAAAGCCAAGTATTTTTGCATACGTTATAACTCGAAAACGAAGAAAAAACCAGCGACAAAAATACAGGGCCGCGTTTTTCTATTACATTGAAGACCACATGCAAAAATTTTTTTTTTCACCCAAATCGTCACTTAGCATGGTTTTGCACTCACCCCTTCAATTGTGCACATGGTTACAGAGCTAGCAAGAGAGAGAAATACTTTGTTTTTCCAAAATGAGCATTGTAAAGTAGTTTCACCCCCTCCATCCCTCTTCCCAAGCATAAAATAAGTTTAGTCAAATTCTCTTAACAGAGAATCAGAACTTTTGTGAAGTGTAGAGATGTATAAGTTTGTATCAATGTATACATGTATTTATCTTTGTTATCATGACTCATAGATAAGTGGATTTAAATAAAAGACGGAAAGAAGGTTTAAACTGGCCACATCTTTTGTAGTCTCTCTACTGAAAGTTGATCTGTATCTGCTGTAGATATATTGACCTATTTTTGTTCAATCTATGCTATTGTTAATTTCCCATGATATCTGGCTAGGCCTTACTAGGCCTTACTTGCATGTTTTGTGATACCTTTGAATGTTTTGTCCATTTTAGGAATCTGTATATCACTGAAACTTATTTCAGGAGATGTCGAACAGGTGAGATCTATGTGATCATATATTAATAGCAGGATCTTCCCAGTTTTAGTAGCCAATAACAGTAAGGTCTATGGGTTACCAATGGAATGCTGTGAACAAGTAAAAGGATGTTACTATTAGACAGTATAACTGAAAAAACAAACAAACAAACAACAACAAAAACTTTTATTTCAACCCAGAGTTAGAAATAGTTTATTACAATGTCATAGATAAAAATATGATAAGGGTGCTGGCAACCCAAAATAAGGTAGGGAGTAGTTTTAGTATATTTTGGTCTACAGTTGTTGTTGTTTTCCTCAGTTTTTGCAGGGATCAAGGTTTTCCCCTCTCTTTACCATGCTACAGTAAGCACTTAATGACTGGCCCCTCGGGAGACAGTGAGTTTTGTTTCCCCGAGACCCTCAATGTTCCCCAAGGTGAAGCCGAGGGGAACATTGAGGGTCTCGGGGAAACAAAACTCACTGTTTCCCGAGGGGCCAGTCATTAAAGTGCACCTAACCCCCAAAATTTTTTTCGCTAAAACGAATCTCCTTGTTATTTGAAATAGTTCTGCGAAAAAATTTTTGGATTCCGTTAAAT